TTAGAGCACTGGCTGCTCTTCCAGAGGTCCTGGGTTCGATTTCCAGCACCCACACGGTGGTTCACAACTGTCTGTAACTCCAGTTCCAGGAGACCCAGTACTCTCTTCTGACCTCCTGTGGCTCCGGGTGTGTACATGGTGCACAGATGTGTACACGGGTAAAACACCCAACACATTAGATTAGTAGATTAATTTTAAAATTGAGTGTGTGTGAGTGTGTGCGAGTGTGCGCGAGTGTGTGCAAGTATGCGCGGGATAAACTCCAGCCTCCAGCCATGGTGAAGAAGCAGGCAGATGAACCAGAGGGATGCAGAACTCAGGAACCCTGCTCTCTAATCTCCACACTTCTAGGGCTCACCCGCACTGCAGGCCCCCTGACCCCACCCTGCAGGGCGGAAAGGAAAGGGCGTGAGTGTGCTTGAGGAGAAAGAAAGGAAGGGCAGGTTGCTGAATGTGACTTCACGTGGCTGAGGAAGGACAGTCAGCGGGGTGGAGGCTGTGCCAGACATGGAAATACCCCTGTCCCCATCACAGCTCTCTCCCTACCCCGGCTCTGACCCGGACCCAGACCAAAGCACAGCCAGGGACTCCCATTCAAGCAGGTCAGATCTCTGGGCATGTTCCAGGAGGGCTGGCTTCCCTTCCTGGACCCCAAGATCAGTAACAGCCCCTTTTGTGGTACTAATCCTGTGGGTAAGAATTGGTACACACCTCGGGAGGCAGAGGCAGGCAGATCGGAATTTGAGGCTAATCTTGTCTACAGAGCTAGCTCCAGTATAGTGTGGGCTATACAGGGAAACCCTGTTTCAGAAAAACGAAAGAAATAAACGGGGGGGGGGCAGTGAGAAAGACATAAGGTCCTGTTGGGGTGCTTTTCTCTGTGTTAAGCCCTTTCCAAGCACCCCTTACTTGAGTCCCTAAAAGAGCCCGGAATGTGGGAGTGACCTCATCTCTGGAGGTGCTCACTCCATTTCAGTCCTTTCTCCCCAGGGAAGGTGTATGTGTGACAACCAGGTATCCCTACTTCCTGCACTTTACCAAATGGTCCCCCCCCCCAACTGCTGGGGTTAGAACTCGGGTGCACCTAGCGGTACACCTGATTCACTAAGATACACCTGATTCCTTCCTTCAGCAAACTACTTTGTGCTCTTAGGATTTTTCTGGAGTCTTTTCCTCACCCTCCTGTCTCAGTTCCATAGACAGATCTGTGCTCAGCTCAGCTGGAAGCCAGGACTGGGGACTCCAACTTTCAACCTCTAAGGAGGAGGCTGGAGACAGAGGCAGAGAGCTCTGAGCCTGGTGCTAGGGTTCCTGGGTCTCCATGGACAGGAGCTGGACAGAGGTGTCCAACTGTTCCGGTAAGCATGGGGTTCCTTTCCTAGTTGGAGTAGACACCACAGAGAAATTCATACCCCAGCCAAAGGTCCCTGAGAAGAAACTCTAAGACACCAGGGGCTGTGGGACCCACCTCACTTCCTTTCTGGACTTTAGATAGAAGTTGATGAGTTCTCTGAAAGGCAAGGAACCAGAGCAGAGACACGGGGACGCACGAGCTCAGAGAGTCTGAAACCTGAGTGACTCTCCACAACACCTCAAGGCTTCGCGTGGCCCCCATCCCCTACTCACCTTCCAGCAGATACCAGGCCCACAGTGACCAAGGAGGAGGCTCTTCATTTTCAGCACAGGAGAGCCTTCAGTAGAACCTGCACCAACTGGACCTGTCAGAGGGCATCGTTGTGTGCCAGGAGGAAGTAGCAGTTTCCTGGGATTATAGTCTCAGGACCAAGCTAATAGTAAACACCTCACCCAGAGGCAGGGTCAGAACAGAAACACTTCTGTGTGCTGGACCCAAGGGTTGGGCCAGCGTTTCCTGGTGGTTAGAAAACATGACTAATCTTCAAGAAAGAATACAGCCTAAATCCGGATGGGAGGAGTATATCTTTGGGTTCTGAACATCCAGGGCAAGGGCACCAGCTGGAAGACCGGCTGGCTTGGGAAACCCATACCCACTGTGAGAACTGAAAGCAGCTGTACCTACAGAGACGGTACACAGGCCCCAAATCACTTTATCTTGAGCTAGCTTTAGCTTCAAATAGCCATTCCTTCCTATCTTTGTCAAAATATCCTGAAACTAATAGATAAAAACCTTTGAAAGTTGTTAACTTGGCAGACTGCTAGTTTCTGCAACTCTAAAGCTAAGAACACCATCAGATAACATCTCGGGCCAATAGCAGGCTTCCCCCGTCTTGCTGTGGCTGCCTCTCTGTGGTGCGCACAACCAATGTATTTTAATCTCGCCTTGATCTATGTCTTTCTTTGTACTGTGAAATCATGAAACGACTTCCATATTGGAACATGGAATTCGGAGTAACCTAAATTTGTGTCCTGGGTTACAGATACTCAAAATGGCTCCAAAATTAACTATTCCCATTAAGGTAAGAATTATTTTTTTTTTAATTTCTTTGGTTTTTGGAGACAGGGTTTCTCTGTGTAACTTTGGAGCCTCACCTGGAGCTCTGTAGACCAGGCTGGCCTCAAACTCAGAGATCTGCCTTCCGAGTACTGGGACTAAAGGCAGGTGCCATCACCGCCCAGTTTTTGTTTTTTGGTTTGTTTGTTTTTTTTTTTGCATTGATACTAGCTATACCAGGGTGGACGAGGACCACTCGGGGGAGGGGGTTTTGGTTAAATGGTGGCTTACTCACACACACCCAGTGCCAAGTGTGCTCTAAGTCCCGGGGGCAGCCTAGCATCTCTGAGCTCATGTAGTCTTGTGAGGTAGGAATTACTTGATCGCCTTTATAGATGGGGAAACTGGGACCTCAAAAAGTTCTAATCAACCAGAGCCACAGACCAGAGAGTGAGCCGTGGAGCCAGACTGGAGCCAGGCCGGCTGCCAGGGCCCTCCTTCTCACCCACTACTTACCTCCATCCTATTCCTACCCACAGCCCCTCGGCACTGCCACGCCTGCAGAAGTGGTTTGGCATCCAGCCTGCATGCTCAGCTCAGAGATCATCTCCCTTCCCCCCTCCTACTTATGAGAAGGCTTCTAGGCCACCTGGCACAGGATATGCAGAGGACAAGGACAGTGCTGTGGGTCAGATGCCAAATCTCCAGTCAGTGCTGAGAAAATGGGGCGGAGGGAAAGAGGGCTAGGCCACCAGAGTCCTCAGCATGACGGGCTCTGTCATTTGTGGGAGCCTGTGGACAAGATTTAGGTGAGAGGTTCCTTGTTAACAACCAAAACCTAACACTATAAAGAATTTCAGGGCTGGAGAAATGGCTCAGCGGTTAAGAGCATTGCCTGCTCTTCCAAAGGTCCTGATTTCAATTCCCAGTACCCACATGGTGGCTCACAACCATCTGACATGGGGTCTGGTGCTGAAGGCATATATGTAGACAAAATATTGTATTCATAATAAATAAATAAATATTTTTTTTTAAAAAAAAAGAATTTCAAGCCGGACGGTGGTGGTGCACACCTTTAATCCCAGCACTCAGGAGGCAGAGGCAGGTGGATATCTGTGAGTTCAAGGCCAGCCTGGTCTATAACAGGTAATTTCAGGACAGGCTCCAAAGCTACAGAGAAACCCTGCCTTGAAAAACCAAAAAACCAAAAAAAAAAAAAAAGAAAGAAAAAGCCGGGCGGTGGTGGCTCACGCCTTTAATCCCAGCACTTGGGAGGCAGAGGCAGGTGGATCTCTGTGAGTTCGAGACCAGCCTGGTCTACAGAGCTAGTTCCAGGACAGGCTCCAAAGCCACAGAGAAACCCTGTCTCGAAAAACCAAAAAAAAAAAAAAAAAAAAAAAAAAGAATTTCAACTTTGTAGTGGGGGAGATCAAACGGACACAGGCCTGTGGGGGGCTGCATAGGTCACACCCAGAGGGTCCTGAGCTCTGGAGCCAAGAGCTGAATTCCGGGTTCCACTCCTCAGTTGTCCAAAGAGGGGAGGAGGCAGATGTAGTGAACTCTCAGGCCTGAGGGTATCCCAGCTCAGCCACCTCACCAAAGGTAGCCTGGGCTACCTTATCTGTAATGAGCAGCTGCTCCCTCCTCAGGGTCGCATCATCACGAACAGCAGGATGGTGACTGTGTTAGTACTTCAAGGGTGAAAAAACAATGTTCAGAGAAAGGGCTGCCCCCAGACCCCTTCCTTCTACACAGCACCACTTTGAGCTGCATTCTGCCTTTCTGTCTTGTAAAAGGACCAAGTCCCAGAGTTAATAGGCAGCTTGACCAGCAAAGTTTTTGGGCTCTGACTCATGGGACAGAAAAGTGACATTGGGTGGAGTTTCTGATTTACCCTGAGTCCTCACAGGCCCTGCTCTGTGCCTGTTGAGGGTAGAGTTAGTTTCCTGGGCCAGTATAGTCTTGTGGTCAGACCTGGCCTGGGGATGTGGGGGCAGGAGGCTGTGGCGCTACAGGAGGCCACGGTGCTGCAGGAGGCTGAGGTGCTGCAGGAGACTGAGGCGCTGCAGGAGGCTGTGGCGCTACAGGAGGCCGTGGCGCTGCAGGAGGCTGGCTGTGGCGCTGCAGGAGGCTGGCTGCGGCACTGCAGGAGGCCACGGTGCTGCAGGAGGCCACGGAGCTGCAGGAGGCCTTGGCACTGCAGGAGACCGCAGCGCTGCAGGAGACCACAGTGCTGCAGGAGGTCCTGGCACTGCAGGAGGCTGGCTGTGGCGCTGCAGGAGGCCGTGGCACTGCAGGAGGCCGCTGTGCTGCAGGAGGCTGAGGCGCTGCAGGAGGCTGCAGCACTACAGGAGGCTGTGCTGCAGGAGGCTGAGGCGCTGCAGGAGGCTGTGGCACTGCAGGAGGCCGCTGTGCTGCAGGAGGCTGAGGTGCTACAGGAGGCCGCGGCGCTGATGCCCAGACACAATGCTGGAGTTGCAGACAGCTGTGGGTCTAGAGAAGGGCTGCAGGGCTGTCTGCCCTCCAGTGAACAGGCTACAGGTTTGTGTCCTAACTCCATCCCACATCTGTTACCACACAAGACACAGTGTCCAGAAAATATGCATTTACTGACACATGTTTGAGACAGTCCTGGGAGGCTGATGCTCAAATTCAAAGGCCCTTGTACCCATCAAATCCCAGGTCCCAGGCTGCACCAGCCTGAGAACATGGCACCATGTGGCTAGGAAAAGGTAGAGAAAAGACCAAGACTGGCACAGAGCCGTGACGCTGGTGAAGGGGCATCAGGCATGGTGCTGGTGATCGGCCCCAGGGCAAAGGCCACTTGAACGACCCGGAAGTACGACGAACCCCAAGATGAAGACGTGGATTTGCCAGGGAGCAGGGGTGGTATAAACAGCACCCTCTTGACTCCCCTTCAAGTCACAAGGCCCAAGATTTCTCCAAGTGTACGCAGTGTGGGGGTAACAGAGAACCCAGGTTCCACCTGGCATCAGGCAGAAGGCCAGAGTCATAACAAAATGTTCATAATGGAGTGTGGAGGCCTGGAAAGGGTTGCAGGCCCAGCAGAGGCCTGGTGGCCACTGGCAACAGGAACTACTCGGCCCTCCAGGACGGGTGGGCGAACACGATGGGTCTCTTCTTGGCCCAGCGGGAGAACACAGCCTTCTCGGTAATGAAGCGATGGGCACTCCGTGGCGCCTGCTCATGCAAGAGGTACATCTGACACTCGTCCAGCCGGCCCTTTTCAAAGTAGTGGTAAGGCACCGAGGGGCCGCTCTTCTCACTGTCGGGAGGGAGCAGGGTGAGGTGGGACATCATGAGACCTCAGAGCTGCCCGCCTCGGGACTACGCTTCAGCTACTACAGCTCCGGGGACACCCACATCTGGACAGATGTCAGGAGGCCCGCAGCTGTGGGACCCAACAGCCACAACTCAGAAATTGCTTCTTGGGTAACTCTGGGTCAGAGAAGCTCCCTGAGCCAAACAGCCTGTCTGGAAATCGGAGCGAGCGGCACACTCAAGGGCGAGCAAGTCACTCAAACGGTGCTCTGAAGACTGATGCCTAACCGCCATGCCCAGAGCTGCGGGCTCTGCACACCCCGTCTTTTGTGGGCCACCCATGGCAGGGACTATGCTCTTACCATCTCGTGTGCCCGAGACACAGGGTCTGAAGGGAAGAGAGTGAAAACCTGTGACTTTCTACAAACCCCTTACTTATGATAATATTGAAATATAATAAAGTAACATGGAAAAATACAATTCCACTTCCACATCTGAACTCACAGTATTTAAGTAATACCGCAACTTAATCTCTCTGTGGTGTTCTAGTAAAATAGATATAGGTAGGACTGGAAAGATGGCTGCTCTTCCAGAGGTCCTGAGTTCAATTCCCAGCAATCATCTACAGTGGAATCTGAGATCTTCTTTTGGCATAAAGTCAAGCAAGCACTCATATACATAAAATATATAAACATATAAATATTTTTTAAAAAATAGATACAGGCTCTAAAGGGGATGGGCAAGCCTTTAAAAAATCATTCCATCAGGTGGGTCCAACCCAAGGCCCATCTTGCCATGTATATTTTTGGCAACTTAAAAAATTATTTTTGAGCCGGGCGGTGGTGGCGCACACCTTTAATCCCAGCACTTGGGAGGCAGAGGCAGGTGGATCTCTGTGAGTTCGAGACCAGCCTGGTCTACAAAAGCTAGTTCCAGGACAGGCTCCAAAACCACAGAGAAACCCTGTCTCGAAAAACCAAAAAAAAAAAAAAAAAAAATATTTTTGCATTTACTTACTTGTGTGTGTGGGTGGGTGGGCAAGACCCTGCCACAGTGTACAGTACATGTGGAGATCAAAAGACACATTGAAGTCAGTTCTCTCTTTCCAGCATGTGGGTGCTGGGGATGCTTAGCAGCAGGTGCCTTTACCCACTGTCCACTGAGCTATTCCACCAACCCCTTTTTTAGTAACTTGATGCATGGTTCTTGTTTGTTTGTTTTTCGAAGCAGGGTTTCTCTGTGTAGCCCTGGCTGTTGTAGAACTTGCTCTGAAGACCAGGCTGGTCACCTGCCACTGCCTCCCAAGTGCAGGGATTTAAGGTATGTGCCACCACTGCCCAGCGATGGCATGGATCTTAAGTGTGAACTTTGTAGATGATGATATCATATCACAATATCACTTGCTCTGATGGCTCAACGACCTTCTGAGAAAAATACAAGTTTTTGTTTTCGCCAAAGGCCTGCACTTAGGAGGTCTGTGCCTGGGTCAGTCATCACGAAGCCCTCACACCTTCCCCCACCCCCAGCCTGGGAGCCAGTCTGACCTGCAGTAGCTCTCACTGACCATCCCGTAGACCACGATCTCCTCACACAGCTCCAGGGCCAGGATCATAGTGAACCAACCAGTGCTGAGGAAGGAGCCTGACTGCCTCCTGGGGAGGATGGGACATGTCAGTGGTCCCCCTGACATCCCTGCTCCCCACCTCACAGCTAAGAAGGGGTCCTGAGGAGGATGGGACATGCCAACAGCTCTCCCTGACACTCCTGCCCCCCCCAACTCACAGCTAGGAAGGGGTCGTGAGGAGGATGGAACATGTCAGTGGTCCCCCTGACATCTCTGCCCCACCTGATAGTCAGGAAAAAGTCCTGGGGGGGATGGGGAAGAGGCAGCAAACCAGCCTGAGGTCAGCAATGGGTCAAGGGCAGAGCTGTACACAAACCCAAGTCTGATCAGTATTGCTACCCAAGCTGCTGCTGTGGCTGGGGCCCGGGGAGACCCCAGTACATGAGAGCACAGTGGTAAAAGGGACAGAATCTGTGGGAGAACCCTTCCTCCGCTGTAGGGCACCTGATTCACCCCTGAAACTCCCAGCCTCAGTGACTAGCTGTGAAATCGGGAGACTTCCTGGTGGCTTTGAAGAGGGAATCCGTTAGCCTTGCCCATGCCCCCATTCCGCCAGGGTCAAGGTTCTGTGGCAGCCCCAGGTCTCAGCTCTCTGGGTACTCTCCAAGCAGAGGGTCACCCCCTCTGAGGCTGCAGCTGGCTCCCCCATTCATGCTGAGCACAGCCGGCACCTGGAGCTAACACACACACAAAGTGAGGTCAGATGGTGACAGGCGCTAAAAAGACTAGGAAAGAGGAGTGAGATGCAGAAAACGGGGGAGGGGGGGGCAGGCTGCTGCTTCAGAGGGGGTGGTCCGGGAGGACTTTCCTAAGGAAGTGACAGTTCATCCAGACCAGACAGAGACAATCATGGGAAATTTTAGAATATTCTAGGCAGAAGGAACAGAGAGCATGCGCAAGGAACTGCAGCTGGGCACAAGTGTGAGCATCTGAGGATGGGGGTTGGGGCACAGGCATGCAGGTGAGGTACATGGGGAATTATGAGGGCCCTCGAACAAGGTATTAAAGAGGCGTCTGATGCACGGTGCTTAGCTCAGGGCCTGAGACCTGAAAACAGCTGGGTTTTTTGTTTGCTCATTTTTGAGATAGGGTCTCATGTAGACCAGGCTTACCTCAACCAAACTCCCTATGTAAATGAAGATGCCCTTGAACTCCTGACCATCCCGCCTCTACCTCACAGAGTACTGGGATTACAAAGGCGTGCAAGGTCAGTTTATTCTATGCGGGAGTTGGAACCCAGGGCCCCATGAATGCTAGGCCAACACTCTGCCAACGGATGCACACCCCCAGCCTGCAGGCAGCTGTTCTGATTGCAATCCTTACTTCAGTTATCTGGGACAAACCTCAGAGGGTACCTCCAATCTTAAAGCATTTCCCGGCACAAAGAGGCTCTTGGAGAAGGCAAGCCCCAGGCACCGGGATCCCCAGCTCACCGGTTCTTGCCCGTCTCCTCTTGGAAGATCTGGTCACAGTAGGCCATCATGCGTTCAGTGAAGGTGTACACCTGCAGGCCCGGGTACATTCTGGTGAGCTGCAGCAACGTGCGGTAGGTACGGCCACCCAGCATCCGGTCCATGTGCCTGCCCTGACCCCACACCACATAGAGCGTGTCTTGGGCCTGCTGGAAATAGTGTGAATAGTTGCGCAGAAGCAGCGGCACGCTCGTGTGCGAGATCACGCGCAAGGTGCTGCGCTGGCCCACGTCCTCCTCAAAGCCCACGGTGGGCGCCTGGTTCATGCGTAGTACACACTCAGCACCGTCGATCTGGGCACCCAGGCCTGAACCCAGCATCTGGCCAGAGCTGGAAACCACGGCACAGCTGTGGCAAAGCTCTCGGATAAGGGGCTACAGGGGAAGGTAGAGAAAGAAGAAAACCTCAACACTAGCCGCCATCCACCTGTCTCATTTGCCCCCACCATACCCACCCAACCTCCTTTCCATCTGCCCCCATCATAACCACTCACCCATCCCTCCTGCCCCCACCATACCCACCCACCCTCCTTTCCATCTGTCCCCATCATAACCACTCACCTGTATCACCTGCCCCCATCATACCCACCCACCTGTATCACCTGCCCCCACTATACCCACCCACCTGTACCACCTGTCCCCACCATACCCACCCACTATAGGCCTATAGTTGGATCAGTTCCAAAGACTAATATTTACTGGGTTTTGTTTTCGTTTTTAAAATTTATCTACGTACATTTGTGCGAACACAGGGGTGGGTGTGCTGCATACATCTGTGTGCACAGGGGCAGGTCAGAGGTTGACAGTGGGTATCTTCCTCAAGCACTCTTTAGTTTTTTGAGGCAGAGTCTCTCACAGAACCAGGATCTTGCCAATTGTGCTAAACTGGCTGGCTAGGCACCCCAGGGACTGTCTGCCTCCCAGTACGGGATGGAAGGTACATGCTAGGTACCCCAGGGATTATCTGCCTCCCAGCACGGGATGTTAGGTACATGCTAGGCACCCCAGGGACTGTCTGCCTCTGAACATAGGATGGTAGGTACATGCTAGGCACCCCAGGGACTGCCTGCCTCCCAGCATGGGATGGTAAGTACATGCTAGGCACCCCAGGGACTGCCTGCCTCCCAGCATGGGATGGTAGGTACATGCTAGGCACCGCAGGGACTGTCTGCCTCTGAGCAAAGGATGGCAGGTACATGCTAGGCACCCCAGGGACTGTCTGCCTCCCAGCACGGGATGGTAGGTACATACTAGGCACCTGGCTCTTACATGGATGCTCAGAACTAATCTCTGGTCCTCATGCTTGCCCACTGGTCACCTTTACCAAATGAACCATCTCCCCTGGTGCTAGGGACTTTGGGGGGGTGGGGTGGAGCCCATGCCACAGTGCACACGAGAAGATCTGGGGCCAGCTTGAGTGGTCAGTCTCTCCTTTCACAATTTGAGTTCCGGGGCAGAACTAACTCATCAGGTTTTTAAGAAGCGCCTTCATCCATTAAGTCACCTGGCTGGTCCCAGTTTTCATTTGTGACATAAAGTCTCACTTTGTTGTCTTGAACTTGTGGCATCTCTCCTGTTTCAACTTCACAAATGCTGGAATTACAGGTGGCAACCAGTTTGCCCCCAAAGAACAAAGTTTGCCCACCTGGCAAGCTAGGCTTGTGAAAATGACTTCCCCAAGCAATAGCCAGCACTGTGGCTGTCCCCAAGACCTTAAGAAGTCCCTATTGGGACCTTGTTATGGCTATAGGAGCAAATATTTGTAAGGCTCTTAGAATGGCCCCTGGCACCGGCTGGATGTCATGCAAGTGTTAAGTAAACATGACAAGCCTCAGCACTTCAGAACTACCTACAACACCCACCCCCCAACACACGTGCACACACCCTGTCCAAGTCCAACCCATACTGCACCGAATAACAGGTGGGTTTTCAGGAGGGGGTCTTCCACGGCCAACCCATGACAGCTTGGGCAGTCTGGTTCCCAGACTAAATCCTGGCTCCAACCCTTCCTAGCTCTACTGCCTGGGGAAGGGTGTGCTACCTCTCATCTGTGAAGCAGGTGTGAATACCTCTGCTGGTTCTCTTGAGAATGCAAATAGAAAAAGCACAAGGAAAGAAGGAGCGGGGGGGGGGGGGGGGGGGGGGGGGACGACGACACAGGGCGGTCTTGCAGACCGGCTGCCAAAGTCAGCAGGCTAGAACACAGCGGGATGGAAAAGGGGCCTCCAAGGTTTAGGCCTGCCCTAGCACTTCTCAAGGCCAGAGAGGACTACAAAATGGCATGAGAGAACTGGGAGTGACAGAAAAGGTCTGTGTCACCATGGTGAGGGCTAGCCATGTTCTCCAACTTCTGTCAAAACTGACTGTCCCGGGGGTGTGATGGCGCAAGCGGTTAGTTCCAGCACCGGGGAGGCAGAGGCAGGCAGACCTCTGTGAATTCTACACAATGAGTTCCAGGCCAGCCAGGGACACACAGTGAGACCCTGTCTATAAGAAATAAAAATCTCCATTGATCTGTATTTTTATAATTGGTAAATTATTTTACAAATCATACAGTTCAATAAAGCCGATTTAATCTGTTTATTTTTTTATTTGTTTGTTTGTTTTTGTTTTTCAAGACAGGGTTTCTCTGTGTAGTTTTGGAGCCTATCCTGGCACTTGCTCTGTAGACCAGGCTGAACTCAAACTCACAGAGATTGCCTGCCTCTGCCTCCCAAGAGTGCTGGGATTAAAGGTGTGCGCCACCACCACCACCCGGCTGTTTGTTTACTTTATGTGTGTTTGCCCGTGTGGACACTCATCCACGTGGAGACCCAAGGTTGACATATAGTTCTTCTTTGTTCTCCACTTCATACACTGAGACAGGGTCTCAATGGTGACACACTGAGAACCCTGTTTGGCTAGTCTGGTTAACTGTCTTTCCTTGGGGGTCCCACCTCTGCCTCTCCAAAGAACGGATTACAGCAAGCTAGCATACCGACCTAGTTTTCTGTGGGTTTTGGGGGTCCACACTTCAGTCCTTACCCTTGCGGGGCGGCACACACTTCAGGACTGAGCCATTTCCCTGGTCCTGCCCCACCTCTTTTGTTACATAGAGACTGACAGGGGACTCAAATGCTGGGACGACAGATGAAGCCACCACACAGACCTCAGGCCCTAGAAGGGCCACTGTATCCAATCTGTTAGATGCAAACAGTGTCGGGGCTCTCAGGGAAAGGCTGGGCCCTCACCTGGAGGAAATCAAGTTTATAGAGGCATGCAAAAGATACAGGGACATTAATTCCACTCAGTAAAGGACGTTGGGAAATCCCACTCAGGTACGTTACTTTTTTATTGGACAAAATGTTGATTTAAGAACTCATATTTTCTGTACCACAGTGTTAAAAAAAAAAAAAAGGCGACCGACCCAGGCGGGGTGGGGCAAAGCTATAAACTCAGCACTCAGACACGGAGCAGGAGGACCAGACTGGACAGTGTCCCCCCACCTGGCCGTTCTGGGGGATTGGGGAATTCGCACCCCAGGAGTTTTTTGCTTTGGTTTGGTTTGGTTTCATTTCAGGTCTTAGGGGTTGAACCTAGCACGCATTCTTGCTCATGAGGAACACTAGACTTAGCTCGAGCCCTGGCCCCAGGTATTCTCATCTTTTCACCAAAGAGCCACGCAGCAGCGGTGCTGTGCCCTGTCTGCTGTCTGTCACCCTCTGAGTCTCGAAGCAGACCAACAGAGGCAAGTATGGCTCGGATGGCCCTTTATAGATGAGGAGGTGCCTGGGACTCAAAGGGACGAGGACCCACATGTCTCTGGCAGGCCAGAGCTTCTAAGCATGCCCCTAGGACTAACTAAGAGCCAGCAAACTAAGAACCAGAACATTAATGCCAAGAACGAGCCAGGATAGCATCAGGGGCCTGTTAAAGGCGGAATGTTGACACGTAGGGCCATGGCTCTCAGGGTCAAGGATGGAACGTCCCTTTGCCACACCAGGTACAGCAACTATGGGGACAGGAGTCACGGACGTCTTGTCATACTTGGACTCCAGCTTCCCTGTCTCGTGAGTCATGGGACCACACATAACCTTGAGCTATGTCCTCAGCCGCCACACAATGCCAGACACACGGCAGGAGCCAAAGCCACAGTTGCTGAGCATACGGTGTGGAGACCCAGAACTCTAAAGATACACAGGTGCACACGGACACAAAAGGGCAGTCCCAGGTGGGCAGCCACCCTTTCTCCCCAGAATGTAGCTGGGCGGAGCCAGGCAGTGCTTGCGTAGTGCAAACCCTATTTCCTCCTACACCTTGCGAGCTCAGAGAGGTGAAGTGACTGGCAGGAGTCACACAGCAGAGAAGGCAAGCTCAGCGTCTAGGCTGGCTTGCCACCAGCCCAGTTCTCCCTGCTCCCTAGAGCTGGGGGGCATGCTGCCCTCCCGAGCGTTTCCTGGCCGACTCACCTTCCCATCTGGCACGCTGCTGTAGCCGCTGAAGTGCAGGGGCCCTGGCACAGTGGGTCTGGGTGCCACAGGGAGGGGGCGGTCCTGGCAGGCTGCCAGGCAGAGGGGCAGGCAGGCCCAGCAGCACAGGAGGATGTAGACAGCGGAGAACGTCAAGGTACACAGTATGAGGAGCAGAAGGCGGCCCTGGAAGAGACAGTGGTTGTGGGCCTGGGGGTACTGCCTTCAGTAGAATCCAAGCTTCTTCAGGGATGCCTAAGTCTTGGCCCTTGGAACTAGAAATACCTCCCCCAAATCCCCTCTTCCAGGTCAGGACACTCATTTGGGATAAAGCCTACATACTGCTCGAGGCCACAGAGCAGTGGTGCAGGGTGCAGGGTACAGGCTGGGGTCTTAAATCCAAACTGCAGAACCCAAATTCTCACCTAGAACCCAGATACACTCTACAGTCTGGGGTCTCGATGGTCCTCAGCCCTGGCCAGGGCTGCCCCCATGGCCCCACCTCCATCACCCTGTCCCCAGCTGGCCCAGGGCTGCCCCCATGGTCCCACCTCCATTACCCTGCCCCCAGCTGGCCCAGGGCTGCCCCCATGGCCCCGCCTCCATCATCCCACCCCCAGTTGGCCTAGTGTGTCCCCTTGGCTAGGAGCTGGGTGGGCAATATAGGAGGTGGATGGAGATCCATCATTTCAGAAATGCCTTCAAGGGCTGGAAAGAAGGCTCAGAGGTGACAAGAGCTGTCTGCACTTGCACCAGGTCCCAAGAAGCCCCGATGCCTCACAACCACCCATTACCTAGACATAAGAAAGGTTAGATACATGTCTCCAGGAATGACAGCTCATCCCTTGTCTAGGCTAGGATTGTTACACCCCTGTTTCAAAAACCAAAAACAAACAATAGAAGCCACTTTCAATAGTTGGAAAGCTTCTGCTCAGTCACCCCCACTTCTAGAGATGATATTCCAAAGGCCACTGGAGGTCACCCTCTTCCCCTCTCACCTTAGGGCGGCTACCTGTATACTCAAAGTGCCCGGCCAGGCCACTGTCTGCTGGGCCATGCATCTCAGTACCTGTGACTCTCAGACTGCCACTCCAGAGGAAACACTAGGAGCTTCCCAGTGTGCCCAGAAAACCAGAGGTGCGGAACAGCCCCTGGCACATCCTGCCAGGGGCCCACCCTTCCTTGTCTGTCCATAAGCCACATCAGCTTCTAAAAATAAGTCTTCTCTGTGTGGCCAGCTGTCCAGGAGACAGGGTTCACAGCCCCTGAGGCCTCCGGCTCTGCATAGCAACTGGCCCCCTGCCCACAAGGGACTTAGAGACCTTGGCTCAGGCAGTGGTGATTAATCTTGCCACCCTAACATTCAAGAGGCTCACCAGTAAAGGCAAGAGTCGCTGATCTTAACCTTCACATTTCTCACCCCCTCGACCAAGTGACACCGTATGGTGACACCGTATCATTACCTCCATTTCAAGATCAGAAGAGCAAAGTGAAACCAAAAGGGGAACCAAGTCATTCACGGGGGTCACAGAGCCTCAGGAGCAGGGGGTGGCACAGGGGCAACCAAAGGGGCTACCACAGGGGCTGTGGGCGGCGGGACTTTGTGTTAGGGCATGTGCTTAGCATCTACATGGCTCTGAGTTCCTTCCAACACCAAAAGGGGTGGGGGTCCCCTATAATTCCTGGCAAAGGTGACTGTAAAGCTCTGCCAGGTTGTCCCCAATTCCCCAGTGCGCTTTCTTCCTTCCATGTCACTTACCCGGGCCTTCATGCTGTCTGTGCCCTCAGCAGTCCGGAGGCTGCTGTCTCCAGAGCTTGGGATGGGAAAGGCTGGAAGCTGGTCCTAGGATATGAGGGAAACTGAGGCAAGGAAAAAAAGTACAGATCCAGGTCAAGGCAAATGGTCCAGGAACCAATAGCCTTAAAGTCTCCAAGCATGCGACAACGTGCCCTGTCCTAAAGGATGTGGGTTCAGAGACCCTGCCAAACCAATCCCCGTTGTGCAGATGGGGAAGGACAGGCAGGGAGGAGACACTCTCGGCTCAAGGTTACCAATTGGTCAAAGCCAGGCAAAGAAAGCCAGGAGCAGCGATTTCTTTCCTACCCATCCCATCTCTCAACCGCGGGGCGATGGAGAGGCCTGGGGCGGGCGGGATGAGGAGTTTTCTTTCACCCTGCTAAATTCCATCGTCCCCTCCCCACATTGGGCGCTAACCAGAAGGGAAGGCTGAGGCGCGCCGGGGGCTCACGCTGCGCTGCTCGGAGCTCCATGTCCAGTGGGCCCGGCCAGAGGGCCTGGAACCGGCCCCGGGTAGGAGGCGGTGCAGCAGCCGCTGCTTCTGCTGGGTGGAAGATCGAGCAGCACAGCCCGGGGACATGGGCGGCGCCTGGCGGAGGGGCGGAGGTTTTGCGCGCAGGGGGCGGGGCCTACGCTGGGTCGGGGGCGAGCGTGGCGGCCTCGGCGATCTCGGGACTCCCGGGCCGAGGTCTCGACGTCGGGGGCGAGACTTGTCTACTTTAGCATCCCACCCTACTTGGTGTGTACCAAGGGCATGGAAGAAAGAGGAAAAAAAAACTCAAGAAGGTCTGAGCCACCATGCAAAGACTGCCTGGCCGGGGAGACTTGAGGTTCTCCATTTCTGAAATGGCCCGAGAAGTGACAGGCGACAGGAAATGAAGCAAGAGTTTCGAATCAAGCAGCCCTGGGTTTCAGGCTCGTAGGGCTGTCTGCTCAAATGAAGTACAAGATGTGAACTTGAAATTCAGATCGACAGTAATGAAGCATGATTTTGTTTTTGAGACAGTTTCACGTGCTTCAGACAGACCTCGGACTTAACCAGGATCCTGCTACCTCTGCTAGCCGAGCTCGAGAGCTGGGATTAATGGCTCAGGTTGTTTTCCATATACCCATTTTGTATTGATTATGTCAATGCAGCCTTTACCCGAGTCGTTGTCGACGTCGTCGTCCCCCTGCCCTACCCCCCCCCACCTCCATAAGGTGGGAAAAATCACTCTCAGTAAAAAAGGGCAGAGGTGGCTCAGGACACCACCAGAAAATTCTGTATCCCAGAGATGCGCTTTGGCTTGGTTTGTGTGGCATTCCCACTACCCTCTCACCGTCCTCAGAGCCCCTGGGGATAAGAATGGCACCCCTCCATTGCGGCCACCTTCCGAGCTCATAGCCAGCTCGTTCCTATCTTAGGGCCCTGCACTTGTGGCAGAACTCTCTCTCTGGACTGCTCCAGTCACATGCTAGTGGGGCTCCTTGTCACTCAGCTCATTCCTCAGCTCCTCCGGAACACCGTGGCCCACCACCCTTTCCAATGCGACACCCCAAATTTATTTTATTATTTCAGGCAGGATCTTTCTGTGTAGCTGTCCCAGCTTGCTCTCTATTGCTGTGACAAATACCACGACCAAAAACAGCTTGGGAAGGAGAGGGTTTATTTCAACTTACACATCCCCATCAAAGCTCATCATAAAGGGAAGTCAGGGCAGGAACATGGAGGCAGGAGCTGGAGAGGGGCCTTGGAGGGGTGCTGCTTACTGGCTTCTTCCTTAGGTTCACATTCAACCACCTTTCCTGAACCACCTAGGACCACCTGCCCAGGGGAGGCACTGCCCACAGTAGTCAAAAACAGAAAGGAAGGAAGAAAGACCTGCCTGTAAGCCGATGATGGAGGCATCTCCTCAAGTGAGGTTCCCTTTTCCCAGATGACCCTACTTTGTACCAAGTTGATGAAAACTCACAGAGCAGGCAGGTCTGGAACCTGCTCAGCCCCACAAGTGCTGGGATCACAGGTATTAACCCCTGCCCAGCTGTGCACCGTGAAGTCTCTCTGGGAGTCAGTTCCCTTGTTCTCACGCCCATGTGCCCATTAGACCCATCTCTGTCTGTGATGCCCTCAGTCAGTACCAACACACACAAAACAAGGCAGGAGAGCGAGCAGTCAGTCCTGGGTCACTGCAGTCTTAGGCCACTTCTCTCACAGCCTCAGGCCCTCTCAAGGTTCCCAGGCAGAAGGAGAGTTGTCACCTTTGTGTGTGGCACAGGGCTCTGAGTTCAAGGTCAGTCCCTTGGGAACCAGGCCCAGAAGACGCGGCAGCAGATCCCAGTTCCTATTCTGGCAACTGCTACCTTCCTACATCTCTGGTTGGACACCTCTGGGTAGCATCAGAAGCTGAAACACTATTTCTCAACTTCCTGCCAACCAAGAAGAAATCCCTGCAGCTGTGGCAGCACCAAGTGACCATCCAGGAACATCCAGAACGGGCCCAGGTGTGTATGTTTGGAAAATGACAGCTCTGGAACGTTACACTGAGGCAGCCTTGTCTGTTCTCCCCTCCCCATCCTGTCCAACTAGCCACTTGTGTGTGTGTGTATGTGTGTGTATGTGGTTTTTCAAGACAGGGTTTCTCTGTGTAGTTTTCGGTCACGTCTTGGAACTCGCTCTGTAGACCAGGCTGGCCTCGAACTCACAGAGATCTGTCTGCTTCTGTCTCTGCCTCCCGAGTGCTGGGATTAAAGGTGTGTGCCACCACCGCCTGGCCCACCAGCCACTTTTCAAGGTCTGGCCATAGCCGATCAGCAGTAGAACAATTATTGACTTTTCCAGGGTCCTGGCTGGCCAGTCTTGGGGGGCATCTCTCAACCCCCCCTCCACAGCCCCCACAATGCTACTTCTTGCTAAGAGGTTTCCTTTCTCCCAAATTCCAGGTCCTTCACTGTGTCCTTGGCCTGGGAGCTAAAAGGGATGTGTCTGACCAGTCTGGTCTCAGTTTAGAAGTTGAGGTCCCTTCCCTCCTGACACCACCTGGGAGGTGATTTGATAATGGTTCCTTTCCCCAGGACTTTGGCCCCAGGCTTCTCCCCAAAGCTGTGTATCCCAGGAAAGAGCCTGCTATAGGGCAACTGCCCAGGCCATGTCGACTGTGTTACTGAGGTCTGTGTATATCTTTCATACGTTAGACCAAGAAGGCACCGGGGGTTAGCACCATGTCCTGGAAACACAGCCAGGCTCTAGAACATCTTGGAAGAAAAGGCCATTGAGCAAAATTGTCTCAGACTGGGGTCAAAGGCCATGCTGGTTTCAAGACGAAGGAAAGCAGGTGGTTAGGGGTTCTAATGGCTAGCCTAAAACTCTTGGATTAGCAGCTGGGCTTCCCCATTTGACAGGTGACTGAGAGATCATTCAAGATCAACAGTGAACTCTGAGCCCCCCCCCCCCCAGTCCCGCTCCCCGCCTCCCGCCACGACCAACTCCAGGACTACTGCTCTGCCTCATCTTAACCCACCTGTCTTCCAGAGGGGCACTGTGGAGCCTTAATCAGAGCTGGGAACTGGGAGGCCTAGGATCTGGGACTGGTCTTGCACCTTAAAGCCTCTGGACTTATTCTCCCATTGGGACAAGGGGGCAGAGCTTCCACTCTCTCCCGTCTATAGAGTGTGAAGCTAGGGCTATAGGAGCTGGGTGGCCAAGACTGTAAGTTCCCAGGCCCAAGGCACGGTGCAGGCTGGTTCCAGCATTTATTGCTGTGGTCATTTCTCACCCCCTTCACCCCGTGAGCCTTCATTTCGCGGCCTGTAAAAAGAGAATATCAACATTTTCTTAATAGTAAATGAGCTAAGGGGGATGGGGGTTGGGGGAGGGTCCTTCCTCTAAACAGGGCACAGCACCATCATCGAATAGGGCTGAGTAGTTACAGCATTAGTTAGGGGATGCTGCCCTCCTGTGGCTAGTAGGAGTAACTGCAGGCTAGCTCCCTGGGTACCGCTGGAAAATTGTTGCGGGCGCATGCCCATTGTCCAGATGAGAAAGCAGACAGGTGAGAGTCACTCGGTGTGCGTCTCCACCCACTGACACAGGCGACGGGCGTAGCGAGCCGGGCTGACGGTGGAGAAGGACTGGCCTGGATAGCGCATCATCTTCCACAACTGCTCCAGCCGTTTGCGAAGCCCATAGACGGTGGTCAGATCCACCAAGCCCAGAAAATAACGTTGGTCTGGCCCATCCAAGACATGGAGGGCGTTGGGGACGTCTAGCAGCAGCCGGCGGTTCTGGCTCTCCGTCAACCTCAAATCTGGTACACCATGTATAGACCTAGGTGTGGGAATAGGATAAAACTGTCCCCTCCCAGCCAGTGAGCTACATTAGGAAGCTGAGGAATAGCTTAATTGACAGTCAGACACTGGCCACAAGTGGCTGCTGAGCCCTTGAAATATAGCCAGTGTCATGGGAAATATCAAGTTCCAATATAAACTGAACTTCAAAGTCAGTACTGAGGGCCTGGAGAGGTGACTCAGCCATCTTGCTGCTCTTGAAGAGGACCAGAGTTCAGTTCCCAGCATACACCAAGAGCCCCTCAAAACTGCCTGTAACTCCTGCTCCAGGGGCTCCAACGCCATCTTCTGGCCTCCGCAGGCAGTACACTCATGATCACACATGTAATTTAAAAATAAAATATTTTAAAAGGGCAGTATTGAAAATAATGCAAATGGTCTCATATACATTTGGGTTGTTGAAATAAAATATTTTTGTCTTATTTTTGAGACAAGGTTTTGCTGTGTAACAGCCCTAGCTGTCCTGAAACTCACTTGAATTTTGGCCTCAAATTCAGAGATCCACCTGGCTCTGCCTCCCAAGTGCTGGGATTAAAGGTTTGCACCACCACACACTGCATAACCAAATATATTGATTCCGTATTATTACTTTTTAAAGGTATGGTTTTTAAATTCTCATTTATTTTTATTTTATGTTCATTAGTGTTTTGCCATGTGTGTCAAGTCCCTTGGGGCTGGAGTTACAGACAGTTGTGAGCTATCATGTAGGTGCTGGAATTAAACCCAGGTCCTCTGGAAGAGCAGCCAGTGCTCTTAACCACTGAGCCATCTCTCCAGCCCCCTCAATATTATTTTCTAAATTTTTGGGTTCTCCACCTCCCTTTTTTTCCGCCAAGACAGGGTTCCTCTGTATAACAGCCCTGGCTGTCCTGGAACTAGCTCTTGTAGACCAGGCTGGCCTCGAACTCACAGAGATCCACCTGCCTCTGCCTCCCAAGTGCTGGGATTAAAGGCGTACGCCACCATGCCAGGCCTTGGTGTATTAGATAAACTCTTTAACAACAACTGAGCTACGTCACCAGGCCAAAAAAATTAATTCTATATTCAAAGACTCAAAAGCCACTTGTGGCCAGTGCCTATGAATGGGACATAGGGCTGTAGCCTAAATTATATTTCTGTCGGGGAGGGCCAATCTGCCAATCTCAAACATTTAGATCATACAACCTGGCCCTTATCATGGATCTCCTAAATCTCTATGGGTAGTCCAATCCCAGAAGCCTTCGGCACATAGAGATAAAGGACTGAGAGTCTAACT